TGCTGGTTTGAAATGTAAAACTGGATGGGTCTGTCAACGGTCATTTTGTCTCCTGTCCTGAGAGAAAAAGTCCTGAGGTGAACTTTGGGAATAACTTAAGGTTTGAATTGACTTGTATATATAAAATAATTACTGTACAGGCAAAAAACAATCTGTAGTTTAGTTTCAGCATTTTAGTAAGTTGACCCAATATTTACCCAGAGCTGGGTTGCCAATTGAGTTGTTTGTAGCCCAGCCATTTTTAGAGTGCAACTTTGTAACCTCAAAATTACTGTTGGTCCACAAATATAGTGATTCAAATATTAATAATGAAAAGGCTTTCATCAAGGTCTGAGGTTCAAGTGCCTTGCAGTGTTGTAAATACCTTAATGTGACCCCTGACCTTTGGTTGTTTAGCTTCTTCTCAGTAACATGGCCTCCACAAGCTTTTCAAACAGAAACACCTCTGGAGACACACACACAAACACAACAATCTGCAAACTGATGTGTAGAAACCCTCCACAAGGAATTATTCTCCCAGGTACATAGGTAAATGTTCAAAATATTGAACAAAGAGTGCGTCAGGTGACCAATCAAGCAGCCAATCATATTGTAGTGTTCCTTTAAAACTTTGCATTGCAAATGAGTTCATACAAGTATGCAAATTCAAATTGACATAGACTCATAAACTTTCGTGGCCTCACACTCTCGCCCTATTTTTTCCCCCAGTCTTATCACATCTCTGCACTGTAGGTTTTTTTCTCCCTTTCTCTGTAAACTAGTCCTGTTCATCAGTTAGTTAGAGATCTGTCTCTGCAGGGTTATTTCTGATTAAACGATGACAGCAATCCTAAAGCGCCCTCATGTGGTTCTTTAAATCATTTTTGTTCATGAAGGTTGTCCTCGAGTACAGAACCTCCATGAAACAATCTTTATTTACTCTATACTTTTTATTATTATACATGCAGTTAAGTGCTCATATTAAATTGGAATATACAGTATGTACTTTTATTTGTACATTAAATCTTAACACAAATTGTGATCCATCCATAAACATAATATCTAAAAAATTATATACATTGCATTAAATACTCAATATATAAAAAAAAATTGCTACATGCTACTACTGCTGATGAGTGCATGGAAGAGAAAGACTACAAATTTTGTAAGTGTAAAAATCTGTTTTTTATTCATTTTGTCAAGTTTTAGTAGTACACTAACAAATTTATGACCTAAAAATCATGATTAAAAGGTAACAACGTAACTCAATCTTGTACCATTTTGACAAAACTCGAACAGGATTAGAAATATCAGCCTAGAAAATCGCAACTTTACATTTTCCGTCCGTCTTAGTGCACGATGTAACTACAGAAGAGTCAAGTTTTAAATAGGAAAAATATCGAAACTCTTTGGTCTTTTTTTCTTTTTTAGAAATGCTAATGGGCTTGTCCACTTCAATGATGTATGCTAAGCTATGCTAAAAGTGGTACCGCCAGAACCGGAGTAAAAAACGGTAAAACTCAACAGTTTAACTCTGGGGGAGTTGTAAAATGAGCCTATTTCCAAAAAAAAAGCGGAGTATCCCTTTAAACTCCTAATTACTGCTTATTAATAGTTAGTAAGGTAGTTGTTAAATTTAGGTATTGGGTAGGATTAGGAATGTAGAAAAAGGTCATGCAGAACAAAGGCATTAATATGTGCTTTATAAGGAGTAATATACAGCCGAAATCCTAGTAATAAGCATGCTAATAAGCAACTATAATAGTTAGAATTGGACCATAAACTAAAGTGTTACCCAAAACTCAAATTTATAAATATAATAAAGTGTCCCCAAATGCTTCAGCCATCTTACATTGCTCAAATCCTTAAGAGGAAAGCAAAGAGCCACCTACAAGATGCAGTTAACGGATGCAACAGGCCACAGGCAGGGTTATCATTTAAAAATCACAGGGCCTAGGAAAAACGTATTTCCTCTCTGGTAGCATTGACACTTTTTATTTGTGGTATTAACAACAATTTAGGGGGGGGGGGGGGGGGGGGGGGCATCATCATCCTCCTCCTGCCAAATTCTGTCGAACTTAACAACAGACACACATGTGTTACGGAAACGTGGGGGCATTACATTTAGTCCACAAGTTTCTCATTAGACCAGGTGCATTTCTGAAGATAAACAAAAATAGAAAGCATATGCCAGATATAGCAGTGGGGGTGAGACTTTACACTACAATATTCCACTCTGAACACCCTCCTGTCAGGCTAACATCAAAACGCGTCTGACGGAAGCAAAGGATCAATCAGATTTTCAGCGTGTAACCATTTCCTGTCTCGGTAGACCAGCATATCCTCTCCCATGATAACCTTTAGTGATTGGAAGGATGTGGTTTACAGACACAAACACGATGCAATTATTCCATCAAACAAGCATCTACCCACACACATAGGGCCTGAAAACAATAATGTAAACACATACTGCTTTGAGGAAGTTGTTCGGTCAGGGTCAAAGGTACACACTGTGCACATTCAGTGGTTTTATACCAAAAGAAAATGAATATGCATGTGACTATCAGGGGGTTTAATGCATTTTTTCACTTAATGCCCTTTTTAAGTGTGTTATGTCTATGTGGTATGCCTTTGTCTTGAATATGATAGTACTTTCATAACAGATTTATATATATATATATATATATATATAGAAAATAATTATTTGATCCACTGATGATTTTGTAAGTTTGCCCATTTAAAAAGAAATGAAGGGTCTATCATTTTTACGGTAGGTTTATTTTAACGAATAGAGACAGAATATCAATCAAAAAATCCAGAAAAAACAGGTTATAAATTGATTAGCATTTGATCGAGTGAATTAAGTATTTGATCCCCAACCAACCAGCAAGAATTCTGCCTCCCACAGATTGGTTATGTGCCCATGTGAAACACAGATTAGTCCTGTCACTTTAAAAAAGTACTCCTAATGTCAGCTCGTTATGTGTATAAAAGACAACCGTCCACAGAATCTATATCTTCCATTCCAACCTCTCCACCACCATGGACAAGACCAAAGAGCTGTCAAAGGACATCAGGGAGACAAGATTGTAGACCTGCACAAGGCTGGAATGGGCTACAAGACCATCAGCAAGAAGCTTGGTGAGAAGGAGACAACTGTTGGTGCCATTTTTCGGAAATGAAAGAAATACAAAATAACCATCAATCGCCCTTGACCTGGATCTCCATGCAAGATCAGCCCAGAACTACACGGGAGGAACTTGTTAATGATCTCAACGCAGTTGGGACCACAGTCACCAAGCAAACAACACCGCAATGGATTGAAATCCTGCAGCGCCCGCAAGGTCCCCCTGCTCAAGAAGGCACTTGTACAGGCCCGTCTGAAGTTTGCCAATGAACATCTAAATGATTCAGAGAAGGCTTGGGAGAAAGTACAGTGGTCAGATGAGACCAAAATCTTGGCATCAAATCAACTCGTCTTGTTTGGAGGAAGAGAAATGCTGACTAAGACCCCAAGAACACCATCCCTCAGTCAAGCATGGAAGTGGAAACATTATGTTTCTCTTCTAAGGGTGCAGGACGACTTCACCATATTGAGGGGCTGATGGACGGGGCCATGTACCTTAAAATCTTGGACGAGAACCTCCTTCTTTCAGCCAGAACACTGAAGATGGGTCGTGGATGGGTCTTCCAGCATGACAATGACCCAAAACATACCACCAAGGCAACAAAGAAGTGGCCCAAGAAGAAGCACATTAAGGTCTTGGAGTGGCCTAGTCAGTCTCCGGACCTTAATCCTAAAGAAAATCTGTGGAGGGAGCTGAAACTTCGAGTTGCAAAGCGACAGCAAAGAAACCTTAAGGATTAAGAGAGGATCTGTAAAGAGGAGTGGACCAAAATCCCCCCTGAGATGTGTGCAAACCTGGAGACCTACAAGAACTACAAGAAACGTCTTACCTCTGTGCTTGCCAACAAAGGTTTCTCCACCAAGAACTAAATTATGTTTTGCTTGGGGATCAAATTCTCACTGAAATGCAAATCAATTTATAACCTACATATGTGTTTTTTCTGGATTTTTGTTTGTTTGTTAATATTCTGTCTCTATCCATTAAAATAAACCTACCATAAAAATGATTGACCCTTCATTTCGTTGTAAGTGGGCAAACTTACAAAATCAGCAGGGGATCAAATAATTATTTTCTCCACTGTATGCATGCATGTATGTATGTTATATATATATATATATATTAAATGTTTATTTATGAGCATTTTTAAATGAGATAAGCAATTAAAATTATTAAAATAATGTACAGTTAGCCAATCATGATCACAACATATACCCTTTCAGGGCGATACAAGACTCAGTTGGGTTTATTTTGCAATAACTAATGGCTGCCCACTTACATTACACATCTTGCTTATTATTATCCCTGTAACAATATTACAGTAATATTAATACTAAAGTCCTCTGAGGTCATTTTCACTACAGTTGAAAACTGAGACGCAAATTAGTGCCAATTACATTTTTATGAAACGAGAGATTGCAAGTCCAAGGTTTGTATGGAAGCTCATTTCTGCTCGGGAATAAAATTAAATTTAAAAAGGTAATTGCAATTTTTTAATCTGACAATTCTAAGAAAAAAAGTCAGAATATGACCTTGCAATTGTGAGAGAAAAAAAAAAGCAAAAATTGTGAGTATATACAGAAAGTCAATTGTCAGCTGACTCCCCCCCCCCCCCCCCCCCCCCCTCAGAACTGTGAGAAAAAGTTTTTTATTTTTATAATTTGTTCCCTTGCAGAAACATAGGTTTGATACAAGAGATGTGAAAACAGTACTGATTTTAGTTACCTGTATGAGAGATGTACTTATTATTTACAACGTTGCCATGGATAACGGTGAATATTAGGAAATATCAGACAGCAGAATGGTGTGATTGCCCCGCAGAATCAAATATTCCAGAGACCTGTGTAATAAACTAGTTTGTGTAATAGTACACACTTGACGGGTGGAAGACAACACTTTGAAAGGCATGTAACTTGTTTATTGCTTCTGATAGTGATACTGCATAAACAGTTTGTAGGAGAGGATGAAAATACAGCAGACACATGGATGAACGAATTATTAGCAAAATAGGTACCATTTTTTTAAACTTAAAACATCACTGGTAAGTTGTTTTGAGAACTTGGTTTGTCCAACTAGGCTTTAAATAAAATATAAAAATATAAAAAGAGGCATTGCATAGATCAAACCATATTTAAATACCACATTTGTGGCTGAAAGAAACTGAGTTTTTAGCATCTCGTGACATAATTACCTGCATCCTGTATCAATACCTGATTTAGTCATTCAGAAGTCATTTGTATATAATATTTACAAATAAAAATAAGCATGTGCAAAAGTTACAATGCCTGCGTAAAAATCTCAAAAACATGCACAGTGTTTTCAGGAGGCGGGCAATGTGATAAATTCAGAGAGAAAGGGGAAAAGGAAAAAAAGAGACATACATTGAAAAGAAATCTGTCCGTCACATCAGTCCATGACAACTTTGATTATGGAAGACAAGGGTCAAGGGTCAAAGGTGAATGCGTCCTTGGCTGCGTCTGGTGTGATGGAGAATCTGTAAACCAATACGACACTAAAGTCACAACAGCACACAATGCATTATCAAACTGCATTCTCAACTAGATTTTACAGCAAAACGTCAAGGGTTCAGTCCAAGTATTGTGTAATAGTGCTACACCAACACAAGTGTAGGAAAGATTTGGAAAATGGTGAAGAAAGTCTCCTCATTTACGGAAGATCACCAGTGTTTCAGAAAGATCTGAGCATTAAAGAGCTTAATTTAATCATTAGTGCTCATAAACTGCTATTAAAGTGATAGTTCACCCCTAAAATGAAAATTATTTCATCATTTACTCACCCTCAAGTTGTTTTAAACCTGTATGGATTTATTTCTTCTGCTGAACACAGAATACATTGACTTCCATAGTATGGGAAAAATACTGCGGAAGTCAATGGAGCCCATCAACTGTTTGGTTACCGACATTCTTCAAAATATCTTTTGTGTTCAGCAGAAGAAAGAAATTCATTCAGGTTTGGAACAACTTGAGGGTGAGTAAATGATGACAGAATTTAAATTTTTGGGTGAACTATCACTTTAATAGGAATTTTTTTTTTTTTCATAATTAAACTTTTTAGATTCTGCCAATCAATGCTGATGCGCCGGCTGCTGCACTGTGATGAAATGTTGCCCTCTGCTGGGCTAAATGTAACACTATTAAGTTTCTGGACAGACACACTTCCCCTAGTGGTTCAAATGAGACATGTACTGCTATTATTGCACTCAAAAATACAGCATCAATCCTGCTTCCTGCTAGTTTAGCGTCAATTTCTCAGGTTGGGTAACTATGGTTTTCTTTTCCTGGCACTCAGAAACTCCAATCCCACCTCCACAAACCTGCAATAAATGTGCTTATCTCTAATCTAAGGAGTTTACTACTCGGAAGCGACAGCAATGAGTGCGTGTACATGCACAACAACACACAGATGCAAGACAATGCAAGAAAACCGCAGGTTCTCTTTTGTTGACAACAGCCGGTTTACAAGTGCTTATTACAATTTTGGGAAGATGGTCGGCGCATACTGCTTTCCCAAATGCACACAATAAGTGACCCAAACTCAGAGCAGATGCAGATATGAATTAGCATCTAGCGGCATTTACTGTGAACAGACTTGGTTTGAGCCATTGAAAACACTGGATCATAAGACGCTTGCGTGTAAAAGAACACAGTGCCGCGCTTCACTCTGAAACACACACCAAATTTAATTAATCACAGCTTTTGCATTTCTTTTTTACCCTAAACCGTTAACTTTTATCTGTTAAAAGCTGCATTTAAGTGATTTACATGAACTTACAACTTGTCAAGTTATTAAGTATAATCGGTGTAAGATTGTGCACGTAAATGAATTCAATAGGTACAATGGCAGTTTGGATGATACCTTGCGGTTTGATTTGTTGGTTTACACATGATTACATCAAGTCCATATTGTTAATTTGACAGACTGTGCGTTATGTTGACAAACTGTATATGATGTAACAGCTAATGACGCCATCTGACAAATATCTCATTTCATCCTTCCCCTGTACCACCAAATACTCAGCTGTTTTATTTATCGAGTACTTTAACATTTATTTCAGATGACAGTGGTACAGGAGGTGTGTTATTTTGCCTGTTTGAGGAAGAGAGGAAGACCACCTACCCGGGGAGTGTCTGGACTGCTAAAAGGAGAGGGCTCAGCTGAGCGGTTCTCTTTACCAAACGAATCGTCTCTCTTTCTGTGTGCAAACTTCTTTTTCAGTGCTTCGGCGATGAGAGCTGCAGGGTCAGATGAACATGCTACGCCTTTACTCCTCCGACTCCTTACTGGAGTTCCACCTGGAGATCTACAAATACAAACCCACATTCAGTACTGATCTTTAAACTTAGACGTGCTTCGAAATTAAAGCTGCTAGATTCATACCTCTCGACAGAACGCAGTTTGACCTGATTCAGGTCTCGCAGCACCTCTAACATGGAGGGCAGGGCGGCAGGCGCTGTACCCGGAGATGGATCACACTGTGCAAGCTTTTCCCTTTTTGCTGCCTGTCTTTGTCGAATCACCTCCGACACGGACCCCTCCGCGCAGATGGCCATAGCCGGAGGAGGAAGTGGGGGTGGAGGTGGTGGAAGAGGACAGACAGGAGTGGAAGTGAGGATAGGAATAGGTAGAGTAGAGCATGGAGTGCCAGGATCAGCTGGAAGAACAGCACGGCCTGGAAAAATTAATAATAATAATTTTATTTAGTCCCTGACGTCCACTAATATTAATCAATTCATTCAGGCATGCAATTAGCTTAGGACAAAAAAAAAGAAGGAAAACATTTTCCCCATTCAATCCGACTATCGAATATTATTATTAGAAGCAATATTTTTTATTTTATTACAAGGTATCAAAGTGAAGCATTAAAGGGGTTATATATCATACATTTTTAGTCATTTTATTTTTCCTCTGCGTTCCACTAGTCAAGTGATTATTTGCTCCAAAAACAGTCAATTTAGACTCTCTAGCCCTTAATTATTTTTTGCTGTCCCTTTAAGAAACACCCCATTCATATGTGAAATGAGCAATGGAGCTATGCTACTTCCACGGGATGCAAGATTTCTAAGGGGTTAAATGTAGTTTTAACTGCTGTATCCTTCAATCATTTTTTTGTAATGCCTGAATGACATTGTCACAGTCACGGATTCACATAATCAAGATCAGCCTGAAATTATTTTGTTGTTACTTGTTTTTGCCATAGAATTGCAAGAGCGACACCAGTAGACTTACAGTCTCCAAGTATTTAAATTAATAAATTATTGTAATAATCAAATGAATACAAAAATACTTTAAACAATTACTATATTTATAAAACCAAAATAAAATAAAAATTAATTAAATTATTATGAATAGATTTCAGAGCAACTTTCATGCTAAATTAAAATGCTAAAAAGCACATAAAAACCCTGGATACTAAAATCATATCTTTTAATTTGATTAAATCAATATTCTTAGTTTTCTGTTAATAAGCAGCTTTGTCATAATTACAGCAGACAAAACCGAAAATATCTATTCGGGGGTCCTTTGAATATTGTATTGGACCTTTGAGTCAAAAAGGTTGAGAACCTACATACAGCTAAGAACACAACAGTCAGAATTTCCAACTTTGGACCCCCTTAAGCACTATAAACAGAAATAAAAATTACAATCTTTTCTCAGTCAATTTGGGTTTGTGGCTAAAAATATAACTGGTAGCCACCACAGATAGCCTTTTTATTTTATGAGATTTTTGCATTTACAGAATCTCTAACAAACTGTCAGTCACAGCATTGGCATACAGCATACGGTACCTGCTGAAACTGTGACTATCATGGCGATCTGTGCTCGTAGTTTCTGCAGTTCCTCTTCCAGAGCTGAGATCTTCTGCAGGGCTTCTGGCTGGGTGTCCTGCTCCAGCACCCTGCCTCTCCTCTGAGCCGGAACAGACACGGACAGCGAACGTTCACGCCCCAATGACGGAATCTCAAAACCTTGTTGTACACAGTGTTTCCTCAGAGGGACGGCAGTTCTGTTATAAACATGGAAAGGCATGATGACACTGAACTTTCTCCACAAAACAAAACTTACGGTATACACACTCTTGTGAAGACCAGAATCCATCAAGAAATCTCATAACAGGCTAAACTTATGTTCAGAACTAAATTTAGCACTCATACACTCTATTAATAAACAACTTTGTGTTTATACAGCTGCTGATGTGTGACTACCTGAATTTAGTGTGGCTGTCTCCTTCATCCTCCACCAGCCAAAGCACATCCGCTAATGTAGGAATGGCTGGCGTTTCCACTGACACATCAATATACCCTTGTCTATTGAATGTCTGCAGAGGAATCTAGAAACATAGAATCAGAACATTAGTGAAGGTGCACTTAAGTCCTTCAAAGCCTTTAACATGCGAAGAGACCATTAACAATTTATACCAGTGAACACATGCATGTAATATCCTGGCCTGTACCTATGCTTTATGCTTGTGTTACAAAATGAGCCAGTTATAAAAGATATACTTTATGTTATAGGCCTATATTTTCTCCGATATGCAAAAACAGTTTATTTGATTTTAATAACAGCTAAATAGCACCTTTGGGATAAAAAAAAACCCTATAAAATATAAGTTAAAGGTGTACTTGCTGTATACACATTTTTATTGTTTTTGTGCTTTCAACAAATGTCCAAAAGCTGCTTTTTCCTATTAGATGAATTAGTTTTTATCTTGTGTGAGTTGATGTTGTTGATTAAAAACTATTACAAATTGGTTTTAGTAATTAAAAAAAAGAAATAAAATAAAAGATAAAAAAATTGAAATAACAAAAGCACATAAAATACTAAAACTAAAATAAGGATGAAACCTAAAAATATAAAAACTAATACAAAATATTAATAAACACAATATAAATAATACTAAAATAACACTGATGTGAGTGTAGATTATTTAATTAACTTTTTCGAAACGTTCTCAAAATTAGGGGAAAAAAAAAATGTGGATCTTTAATAACACATAACACACATTTTCTCAAAGACAGTACCTGGAACCGCAGCCGTGGGTGAGGATAGAGAGGAAGGTTTGTCCCAATCATACGGACTATGCTGCGGTACTGTCCACAATGTGTACTGTCCCACACTGGAACCAACTACAACAACAGTGTTCAAGATGTAACGTTACTGTTAAAAAGATGCATTTATAACTTACATTTAATGAGCATGTAACATCACGTTTATTGAGTTGTTTATGAGCAAATAGTCACACTAAATGAATTATCATATTTACCATTTCAGGTGGCACTCCAAAATATTCCAGGACACATCTCAGTAGATCAACGATGTCTTCCAGCAGAGACATTGACAGTATCCTGGTGTTTTCCACGCTGGATTTCTGCTGACAGATGAACCAACGGAACCAACACACACTGCAGCAAACTTCTCCACGTGACCTGAGGGATCAAATCAGCTGCATTCCATTCAATGCCATCAAAACGCCGTTAAAACGTTCAACGTTAGTAGAAATAAGGAGGAAAAACGAACGGCATAAATGCTAAAGAAGCGTAATTAACTACTACAGCACTAATTACTTATCAGCATCAGCCACTATCCTACCACTGAGTGCGTGAGAACACACGCGTATGTCAAACCTATACGTTAATCTGCGCGTCAATCTAATTAATACACCTATGCATGTATTAATAATAAAATGACGGTTATATTTACAAAGATACGCCTAATATTCACTTTACCTCTTGTATCACGCTTTCCGTGCAGGTAAACTCAAATAAAGCTCTTTGCTTGAGAGCGTTTGTGATTGGTCCGGAGAGGCGGGTAAGAGCCCGTAGCCAATCAGCTTGAACGATTTAGAAATGTCGTCAGCTCCTTCGACCAATCGTTTTGTTTGAACAGAAGCAGTGGGAAGTTTTGTTTTTTGTGTGTGTGACTGAGCGTTGTTAAAAGTAACGGCAGTGGTGAGTACACTGTAATTTTATAGTTTCATAATCAACATATTGCACAAAGTATGACATATAAGAAGGTTAAAATGAATAAAAATAGAATTTCTTTCAATTACAGAGATGTAAAGTTCCGCAAAACCTGAATCTGAATTCCAGCTATGTAACGTTAGCTATAATGCTAACTAACGTTAACGTTACTGTATAAGGAACTGATTGTCTCGCGATTCTTAGTATCTTCAGCTTTTGTGTTGTAATTACATGTTTTCTGTTAACTATTTTAATTCCACTTGTGACCAAAATTGCTTTTGAGAAGGACTTAAAATATGTATTTTACACATGGTTAAAAATGCAGAAAATACAATTGTGTCAATGGTCACATGACCGAAGCTGTTGCCCTTTCTGAAAGATGTTTGTCAAAGCTCTATAGAATAAAACACACAAAAACATGGTTTAATGCGCCCAAAGCCACCATATTTAGTACATAATACTATTTAAAGGGTCTATTATTAATGTACTATTAAAATTAAAAGTTATGATCACAATACATAAAAATCAGTGAGAAAACAAAGAGATCCGTTTTGAATAAATGAAAGTATAGGATCAACTTTTAAAAGGCGATCTATGTTATCAGATGTTTTAAATGCTTTGTCTTCATCCCTTGGTGTTTCAGGTATCCACAAAAATGATGGACGCATTATCAGTAGTCACACAGCTGCGGGACTTGGCATCAGAACCACAGAATCGGGAGGCGATTGTTCAGGACCAGGGTTGCCTTCCCGGACTAGTGCTGTTTCTAGACCATAAAGACTCTAAAGTGCTTTTTGCCACCCTTCAGGTACACTGATCTGTCAATGCACGCAAACTTTGTTTATTAAAGAGGACCAATTATGCTTTTTTTTTACATGTTCAACTTTCTTTAGTGTGTAATGAGCATGAAAAAGGTCTGCAAAGTTACAAAGTCACTCCAAAGAAAGTTATTCTCTATATCAGTAAGTGTGGTTTCTGCTCCCTGAAACCCCTTGATTGTGGTCTTGAGTTTTCTTCCAGGGAAGTACACGTCACAATATCCCTCATTTAAACAATTTCCGCCCAAGGGATTACACAGCAAAAGGGATCAGGCCTGGTTGAGTTGCATTAGTAGTGTGTTGAAACTTGCAGTTATGGTAAGGGGTGTGACAACCAATCAGAGCAAATTGTGATTTTTGGAAGGTGGTGCTTCATAGAGACCAGAACAAAACAGAGTGTTACTGATAGACTGGGACAAGAGGTGCTGCAACAATAATATATATATATTTTTTTAACATTCTAGTAGGGCTGTACTCAACCAAAGAAAATCTTGGTCGACTGAAGTCCTGAAATTTGCGATTAAAAATCGACTAAAAATGACGATAGAAGAAAAACGTTAAATTAATTAGCTGCGCACAGTGCGCAGTACTTAGTAGCCTTGTTGTCCACCTAAATGAATTATAAATAAACATAATAAACTAGTAGGCTATTTGCAGTATATTAAATCGTTTTTGACCTAATTATTTTGCACTGAAATGAGTCTGACACACGAGTCTGTCGGCTCTGACAGCGTTGCATCACGTGCACCTGCACAATATCATAGCCTATGATTTCCGAAAATAGTACTATGTTGTCAACTAGTGATATCATCACAAGAACTGTTGAGGAATATGCAACATAATTTAGATAATTATTTTTGTCACATGTTATAAGTTATAACTGTCAGACACTATCATTTCAGCCGCTCTGTGCATGTCCCTTCGCACAGAGCGAGGCTGAACATATCAGCTTTGCGGCTGAGACACGAATAGACTATTAACTTAAAGCTTTTATTCTTAATAAACACAAAAGGCACGTCCACTTCAATAAAAAAATTATATTTATTAAACAAACCAGATCAAGAGCAGAAACTAAATAAAGTGCATAACTGAAAAATAAAGCATCTTAGACTCAAAACTAGCACAAACAGTCGGCACAGCGCAATTGCGCATTAGGCTCCAAATAAAAAATTAAAAAGTTAGGTTATCACACTAAAACATTGAAATATGCAAATTCTGATATGTTCATATAGCCTACTCAAAACAGACAGGGCAAGCTAATGCAGACAAGTGAGCTTACCATTTTTAGATGATATGTCATGTTTGTCGTCGAGCTGTGGAAAACGTACTCGGTTACTAACGTAACCTCGGTTCTCTCTAGAGAGGGAACGAGTACTGTGTAATAGCTTTACGCTAGGGGAAAAACTCTTTTCCACGAGATATTGAAGCCAAAAATTATCCTTAATTTTTTATTAATGTAAAACGCTTTGCAGCAGCAAGCAGACATAGGCGAAACAGCTCGCGCGCCTATTGGTTGCTCTTGCGGCAAATGCAGCAGCCTATCGAGAGAGACTCTGCGTGACGTAATGACCAATGGGGGCAATTCGCGCCCATATCGTCACGTCCCGCCAGAAAGGGCGTGGTCTCACCCTATAAATATGCTCGTTAGGCTGGTACAAGCTGGTTTTTATCGCTGAAGCGAACCAGAGCGTATTCCAAGCACGGCAAGATACGCAGTACTCGTTCCCTCTCTAGAGAGAACCGAGGTTACGTTAGTAACCGAGTACGTTCTCTTACGAGAGTATCTCTCGTACTGCGTAATAGCTTTACGCTAGGGGAACACAATGCAACACGCCGTGCGTACAGGGATCCAACACCAAAGTCCCAAGGGCCGAAGCCCAGGGCTCATGTAGTGCATAATCACCATAAACTCACATAGAGTGGAGGAAGAGAGGCTGGAAGCGTCATTCCCTATAAAAAAGCACCCAGCGGGGCTATCATATGACAATAAAACGCGCAGCCAGGGTGAAAGCTTTCAGCCTGATCTGGGTGGCCATACGTGTGTCAACACTCATGGGGCTGCAGTAAACTCAGCATCTGGGCCGCACAGCGGGGCAGATAGCACTGAATTTTAGACCGCCAAAAGCTTAGCTTGTAAGGCGGGTACCTCCAGGTTATAGTATTTTATAAATGTAGACGGCGAGGCCCAGCCCGCGGCCGTACAGATATCTTGCAGGGAAACCCCGCTCGACCAAGCCCACGAAGAGGCCACGCCTCTCGTGGAGTGCGCTCTGACACCCAAGGGGCACTGTAGGCCCTTTGCAGAGTAAGCGAGCGCAATGGCATCCACTATCCATCTGGATAGGCTCTGTTTTGAGGCGGCGAGTCCCTTGGAACGCCCGCCAAACAAAACGAAAAGCTGCTCCGTCTGTCTGAAAACAGACGAGCGTGACACATAAGCTCTCAATGCCCTGACGGGGCAAAGGAGACTCGCGTCCTCCTCCTCACTGAGAACCGGAAGGGCGGACAGGGAAATTACCTGGGCCCTAAACGGTGTATTGAGGGATTTCGGGACATACCCGTGCTTAGGTTTGAGAATGACCTTCGAGTCATTAGGCCCAAACTCCATACACGACGCGCTTACTGAAAACGCCTGCAAGTCCCCTATGCGCTTCACTGAAGCGAGAGCCATGAGAAACACTGTTTTGAACGACAGGTGTTTCATGTCCACCAGCTGGATTGGCTCGAACGGGGCGCCTTTCATGGCCTCCAGGACCGTGGAAAGGTCCCACGTCGGGACTGAAGGGGGCCTGGGAGGGTTCAGCCTCCGAGCTCCCCTAAGGAAACGCACGACTAAGTCGTTTTTCCCCAGCGACTGGCCAGACACCGGTTTTGCAAACGTTGCTATGGCCGCCACATATACTTTGAGTGTGGATGGGGTCCTGCCCTTATCCAGTAGCTCTTGAAGGAAGGAAAGCACTTCCGAAACCCCGCATTCCACAGGTGAAAAGCTCTGAGCTTGACACCATGCAGAGAAAACAGACCATTTCGAGGAGTAGAGCCGCCTGGTAGACGGAGCTCTAGCCTGCGCGATCGTGTTTAACACTCCTTCTGGGAGGCTAGCGGGTACCCGTTGATGGCCCATGCGTGCAGGGACCACAACTCAGGGCGAGGGTGCCAAATCGAGCCCTCCGCCTGAGAGAGGAGGTCTCTCCTCAATGGTACAGGCCATGGGGCAGTGCTGGTCAGCTGCATCAGGGCAGGGAACCACGTCTGGTTTGTCCAGAGCGGAGCTACGAGCAGCACTGGGCATCCGTTCTCCCTGATTCGTTCCAACACCTGAGGCAGGAGCGAGACAGGAGGAAAAGCATATAGGGGGCAGCGGGGCCAAACATGAGCCAGCGCGTCCTTGCTTTTCGAGAAAAACTCCAGGCAATGAGCGTTTTCGTGGGACGCGAATAGGTCCACCTGTGCTCTGCCGAACGTTTTCCACAGCAGCTGGACCGTCTGCGGGTGCAGCGACCATTCCCCTGCTGGAACATTGTTCCTGGACAGTCTGTCTGGTCCCACATTCAGGTGACCAGGCACGTGCGCTGCTCTCAGTGAGAGCAGGCTGTGCTGAGCCCAGACCAGGAGGCGTTCCGTCAGCCTGTGAAGGTTTCGTGACCTGACGCCGCCCTGGCGATTTATGTATGCCACCACTGACATGTTGTCCGACCGGACCAAGACGTGGTGGCCTGTTACCTGGGGACAAAAACGCCGTAGCGCTTTGTCGACTGCTATCATCTCCAAGCAGTTTATGTGAAGGAGCTTTTCCCGTTCTGACCACAGGCCAGCTAGCGGTCTGCCCTCGAGCAGCGCTACCCACCCTGAGGTGGAGGCGTCCGTAGACACCACCTTCACACTCGAAGCGGTCCCCAGACTCACACCTGACTGATACCAGTCGGTTATTTTCCAAGGTTCCAGAGCTGAAACACACTGTAGGTTGACCCTGAGGCGAAACAGACCCGCTGTCCATGCCCTGGGTGGAACCCGCGCTTTCAGCCACATCTGCAGTGGGCGCATGCGAAGCAAGCCCCACTGGAGTACAGAGGCCGCTGAGGCCATCAGCCCCAGCATTTTCTGAAACCTTTTGAGCGGAACTATCGAGCCGTGGCGGAAGGATTTCGCGACGCGCTGAATATTTAGTCCGCGCTCTGGTGACAGGCGTGCCGTCATGGATAGCGAGTCTAACACTGTTCCCAGAAAGGAAATTTTCTGACTGGGAAGACAGTGAGCTCTTCGCCCAATTGACTGTGAGGCCCAGCTCCTCGAGGTGTTCGAGTAATGCGGCCCTGTGTTCTATGAGCTCCGATCGTGATCGAGCTAGAATCAGCCAATCATCCAAGTAGTTCAGGACTCGCATGCCCTGAAGTCTCAGGGGTGCGAGCGCCGCGTCCATGCACTTCGTGAATGTACGAGGTGCTAGGGACAGGCTGAACGGCAGGACTGTGTATTGATATGCCTGGCCCTCGAAAGCGAATCTCAAGAATCGCCTGTGATGGGACGCTATTTGTATTTGGAAATAGGCGTCTTTCAGATCTATTGACATAAACCAGTCCCCGTGGCGCACTTGCGCGAGGATTTTCCTGGTCGTAAGCATTCTGAACTGGCGCTTCACAAGCGCTCTGTTCAGCTGTCGCAGATCTAAAATGGGTCTGAGACCTCCATCTTTTTTCGGTACCAGAAAATATCAGCTGTGTAGGCCCCCTTTGCTCTGAGCTTGAGATAAAGGTTCTATAGCACCTTTGCTCAGTAGTTTCGCTATCTCGGCTCGAAGTAGATGAGATACTTCGTTTTCCACCGTCGTCTCGACGCGCGCCGTATAACGGCGGGGACGTCGAGCGAACTGTAGCGAATAGCCTCTTTTTATAGTGTTCAGCCCCCATTCTGATACCCCAGGAAGCTGTGCCCACACTTTCGGGTGAATAGCTAGGGGTAGAATGAGATCTGGGCTCTGGCCGAGACATAG